TCTCGAAAATTGTTGCAAATATCGCAAAATGATAGATGACTTTTTTGTTTAGTTGGTCCACTCTACCTGCCCATGAGCGCTGTATCATTAAGTAGCGGACACCCTATATATACGATTATAACGTTCTAAATATTGACTATTCTATCGCGCATTTTCAATTCTTTCTTCATTCACACAGTGATTATTAATACAGGTCTGTGTTGGACACTCCGAGTTCTTCGAGTTGAATGAAAGAAAATCTCCATAGGACTCCACTATGTTGTTTTATGTTTTGTGAAAGAAAATACAATCAGGGAAATTATAAATTTGTTTATAATTAACATTGATGAACCCTGTGTGCACTACGATATTTAATTCTTAACAAATAGATTTCTTCCTTTATAAAACTATAACATGGTCAGCACGTTGTTTTGTCGATGTAACTATAATCTCTCAAATAACAATTTAAAAATTGATTTCTTGAAAATTTTTAATTTCAAAAATTTTTGAAAAAAAAAACAGTTACTCTTTTTACTTCTGATTTGATAACATTAGTACTTACAACCGATATATCCGAGAATGCGAGATGTTCGTGCGCGAAACGCCGTTAATGTACGTAGTACCGCGTGCGAAAATAAGGATTAACGGAAGTATTATTAATAATGAACGGATTTTCCCTTATTTTCGCGTTTTTATCAGAAGAACGAGAGATTGTCTCGTCGAATTACGACGGTGCAACGATGAGGTATAACTTACAAATTATGGTTGAGAAGACCGCAGATGAGGAAAACACACAGTATAGTAGTAATTGAAGCTACTGAACTATCTGCGTATTAAAATAAAGACATTGAATTTTACAAATTTTAAGAGAACTGATAGCAATACAAGATTCGTACGTTGCAGAACTATGTTTCGTAGATCTAGAACAATTCAGAACAATAAAATTCTCGAGTGGAACAAGAAAGATAAGGTGCGTTTACTCTTGATTCGGAAGTTGATAAACGTTTCTCTTTGTTTTCCGCAATTTCCGGTTGACTTAAGAAAATTACCTTTTAAAACAATGTTTGGAACAGATAGTAGAACAATTTATATCGATAAAAAATGTTTAATTTTCGAAAAAAGGGGGAGGCCAGATAAAAAAATTATTTTTTTTTTGTTATATTGGAGAACCGTTCGGTATAAAATAATATATAGCTTTGAAATATTGTGGAAACAACAAAATTAAAACATAATTATTTTTTACTGATGTTTGTGCCTTTTTTTATTTAGACTGTGCCAAAATATTTCTTCGTGCTTTGTTCTTTAGATTCTGCCCCCATGGAGATTGTCTTCAGCTGATTTCGAAGTGTTTGATTCAGGATTTTATGGTGAGCTGTTGATTGTATTTCATTCTTCGTTCTGCTGGCACAGTCTGAAAAACGTTTCTCGTTGAGGTGTATTGTGTAATGTACGATTTTCGAATAATGAAACTTGAATAATGAAACTTTTAAAAGATTGTCTCACTTATACTTACTCTTGTTCCGTTCTTGTATAAATTATATTTTGAAGGCGTAATATTATTTTTTGTAATTGCGATTTTTCCCTTTGTAATGCTTCATGTTTTTCTTGATTCATTGTGTAAAACCTATAAGGATTTGTAAGAGTGTTTAATAATGAATTAACTTATTTTATATTAATAATAGATCGGAAG